TCATGATTAATTTTTTGGCCAATATTGCTCAACCCTAATTTACACCCAAGCGCTCGGCTCACTGCGTTATTTTGGATTATTTGCAATTTATTTATCTTTTCTTCAAACACCAGACCAAATGGCCGAGCAGTACTCTAGATCAGTGGTTCCCAAAGTTGGGGCCAGGACCCTTTTGTGGGTCACAAAACATCAAGTGAGGGTCTCCAGAGGATTTCTAGATATTAATTTAAATGCAAAAAATGTTGCTAATGATATGTTTTCACCATGATTATTGCAATTTAAATAATCATAAATGAATAAAATTAATATTAGGGTTATTAGTTTTGTTTATATTATTATTCTCATGTTTAACAGAGTTATTAGCAAAGTTTGCAAATGTAAACAAGTACTATCTGGGACCACGAGTGCCTGGCCTGCAACTTTTTGTGGGCCGGAACGTAAAAAGTTTGAAAACCACTGATCTAGATGACGCAAGACCAAAGATTWCACAGAACCATCACARCACCTCTACTCATTTTAGTCACAGTTATGAGGACACATAGTTTAGTGTCCTTACATGAGTTCTGAACAGGCAGAACTTTTATCCACATGGATCTTTTTTTGGTCTCCGTCTGCCTCTGAGGTTAGTTTAGTTGGTCAGGAGGACAAAACAGATCTTTTAATTCTGCCAGGATATCCTCCTGACTTGGCAGGAAACCAACTGCGATCATCACGCGTCGTAATCTGGCATCAATCACGAGTCTTTGAATGCACGTGCAATCCCTGGAAACCTGCTGCTCTAGGAAAGCTGAGGCACTCGAGGCGGCGCTTCGTGTTATCTGGCAAACAATTAACCCACTGGGTCACAAATGGTCAAATTAAATATTCATATTTATTGCCGTAACGTTTTCTTCAGGCTTGTTTTTCCAGAGGTTCATTTCTGTACTGTCTATTTTCATCAACGTGTAAAATTTATGACAGTTTGACGTGATTGTTTCTAGAAGAAGCTCGCTGACAGGCGAGTTTATTTGAGTTGCTGTCCCGCAAATATCCGAGATACAGAATTGGGTAACTTAATCCAACTTGTTCAGCACCTCTCTTCCACTCAGCCATCAAATAAGCAGCCTGCGTGACGTTAAATTATAGCCTCCATCATCACCCCTGCAAATCATGGAATAAATCAATCAACTTTTAATGTACTTAGTTATTGTAGAAGCTTTTGATTTTCAAAGCAAGTCAGTGGTATTATACAGCATCACATCTTAAAGGCTTGAATTATTGATTTTTATTAGAAATCCCAGTTCTTCTCTCATTCTAATGCTAAACGTTCCTCTCAGCTCAAACTGTTAGTCTCTAATTCATCCAGGAGTTTTGTGTTTCTACCAGAAACCGTGCAGACTGGTGGCTATCATGGCTAAACTTTATAAGCAGTAAGGTTATCGTTACATTTTTTTCTTTCGGCACTCTTGTGAGTATAAGCCTCTTCCTCTCGTGCACAAGGCGAGGCCCCCGGGCTTTATGACCTAGAAGAAGCTAGGCTGGCTGACCCAGTGGTCATCCTAGAAGCCATCTGGCAACGCACGTCTTGTGTGGCTTACCCATCCCACTGCCTCACGCAACTCCTTAAGCAAGCATAAGTGCGCTTAGGAGGACTTAATCTCAGAGAAACTGGTTTGGGCCACTCTTATTGACGGTCGTCGTGGATCCACCCGGGTCACGGGGTTCCTTTCAGGCTCGTAAACTGAGACGGTGTCTCTGACCGCCTGACCTGTCCGTCTGCTGTGGGATTTAAATCTCTGGACTGCTCGTGCCTTGTCATGAAGGTGCTTATATCATCTAATCGATACGTTTCATGCCTGTTAGCCGAGCTGGTCTGAAATCCTTAAATGTTCCGTGGTGTCATCGAGCAGATGCTCTCGGGTATGTTCCGCTGGCCCGTGAAGCGAAGAGCGGAAGCGAGAGCAGCCCGAGCATGTCTGCACTTGCACAGAGGTTACTCTTGGCCTTTTTGACGGTCTGCCAGTGCAGGGGCCAGTGTCTTCCAGAAGAGGGCCTTGACTACAGGCAGGCGAGGCGAGGCGAAGCAGCCAGACAGGCAGCCAGCCACATCGTCTGCAGTCTCGGTCTGGGGCTACAGCCCGGACTAGGGCGGCTCAAGTTACCCAGACAGATTTGTTAACACTGTTTGGGTCCACTCAGCTTTCTAGCCGGGCTTCTGAGCCAAACGCGGCTGAGGTGACTTAATCTGTCATTAAACTCACATTACACCCGAACAGAGGCTCTGCTCAGGGGGGGCAGAGACGACACTCACTCCTCCGCTCGCTGGCACGGCTGGCTGGGCTCAGGCAGACACAAAGAATACATCCCCCTTTCCTCCGCCCTCCCATCCTCCTCATGCCACACACCATGGCACAGCTTGACAAGCCAGCACAGTCTAGACGAAAGCAATTTCACTTGAATTTGAAAAGCCATTTGGCTGTGCGATGGGCACCCTTGTGGAGTTCTTGGTGTTGAATATATTCTGCAGGTTTGTGTGCTGTTTTTAACTGTGCATTCATAGATTTCATTGCAAAACAGATAAAACAGGTACAATGAGACTGACAGGAAGTAAAGGTTAGCAGAAAAAAAGACTTTAGTAGTATGTCGTCAGACACATTATGGAAGAAATAAAACTCTTTAGTTGTCTATCTTTAAGTTAACTCTGCAACCCTTGTGTTTCCACATTGAAAACGTCCATAAGTGTGAAAGTAGTGAATAAGGTGTGAACCTAGCTTCACGTATCGTTTTATCTTTCTCCTCCAAGCTGCTGACAGTAAATGTTCGTCTATCAGGAGAACGGCTGAACTCTGCTCACATCGGGCAAAAAGAATGTCAGACTGTAACAACCTGCAGTACCATCAGTGGAGGTCTAAGACGTTGTTTCCTTCTGCTGAGGTTTGTTTTTACGTAACAGCTGGTTCTGGTTCCTCCCTGGTCCTGGCTGCACCCCCCCACCACCACCACCCCCGCAGCAGAAAGCTGCCAAAAGCCAACATATGAACTTTATAATCAACTGTTACAAAGAGCAGTGCCAAGTGGACGTGCCAAATATTTTTCACATGAAGGCGCTGCTTTGTTTCATTTAGGCTTCATCGATCTAACTTTGTTCTTTTCGTTTATGAGTTTCGCACCATTCTCAAGACAGAGCCCGTATATTAAAGCTGATTTTCTCTCCTAATTGGCTGAAATGAGGTGACACTGATCCAACTGCATCTTAAAGTCTTACGAGCCCTATACGTTACTGAAACACAGACTAAAAACATCTACTTTCATACATGTTGTAGTGCGTCTCAAATAACCTGGTGAAACGTTTGTGGACAAGAGGTGGATGTACAATAAATGCTTTTTTGACAATTGATTTTTTTTTCTTTCAAAAAAAGAGGTTCTCATATTTTCTCTATATGATAAAATAATGAGCTACGTGTTTTTTTAAATGCAAAGTATGTTTGATTACCTTTTTTCTTCCGGACGTTTTTCAGCGCCTACGTGTCTCTTCTGCAGTTTTTGTGCAATTTAAACAATTCACATTGTTGTGTTCAGCTCCTTCAGGACATTCCAGCCATGACTTTTGGTGTTTCAGTTACTTATACTTTTTTTTTTTAGCTAATTTACTTGTTCGGCCACTGTGAAAATGAATGGAGCCAAATTCAACATCTTTAAAACTCATCAAAATGTTTTTAAATCTTTCCTGCACTTCACACATAATGTTCTGGTTCTGCTCTGTTTCAACACCGTTCTGCTAATTTTAGCTTCCTTTTTGCTGAATTTACCCTTTTTCTGCTGTTTCAGCTGTTTACTGCACATTTTGGCTGTTTTAGCTGCTTTACAGCAACTTGTCACTTCTTTTTGGTTAGTTTTTTACACCATCACCATCTGTGTACTAACTTGTTTCTACTACCTTTAGCTTATTTTTCTGCCAATTATAGCTTTTTTTTCTACTACTCATAGTTGTAAAGTAACTAAGTACAAATACATTATTACTGTACTTAAGTATAAATTTTGGTTATCTGTACTTTACTTGAGTAATCATTTTTCAGCATACTTTTTACTTTTACTCATTACATTTTTACACAATTATCTGTACTTTCTACTCCTTACATTTTTTAAAAAGGTAAGAAGTAGAAAGTCATTACTCCTATTTTATTCTGAGTTGTTATTACTTGAAAAATACTATCCTGATAAATTGTCTCCTGGATAAACTGAATTTAATTGTAATTGGATGAGAAGTATAAATATATACCATTCTGACACAATATTAGCTTGTACACAACCATCACAGCTGCACTCTGTTAGAAATTTTTTTTTGAGAAGTCACCTCCCAATAAATGTCATTTAGGAAAATCTAACTGCTCACTTCTACTCAGTACTTTTACTTTTAATACTTAAGTAGATTTTGTGTCAGAAATTTACTTTTGATACTTAAGTACAAAAAATAGATACTTTAAGACTTTTACTCAAGTAATATTTTTAGAGAAGATTTTAACTTTTACCAAAGTATTTTTTTGATAAGTAACTTGTACTTTTACTCAAGTATCACTTCGAGGTACTTTATACAACACTGCTACTACTTCAGCTATATAATGGCTCCTTTCTGCTATTTTTCTTATAATTTTTACTTTTTTGTACTTCTTTCTATTTTTTACTACTAATTTAAGCTTTATATACTTCTTTCAGTTGCATTATGATAAATTTAGCTGATGTTTTGCAACTTTAAGCACTCTTTAGCTGTTTGTTGCTAAATTTAGCTTTTTCGAGCTAAATACACAATTTGATGGCCTATTATGCTTCTTTCTGTGTCAGAACAACTATTAACTCCTTTTCTATTAAACAAGTTCAGCTCCAGTTCAGCAGCTTTCAGCTGAAGTGTTTTATCTTTTAGCATTCACACTAGCATTTTCACAGGAAATGCAGTTTTTCTAGTTTTCTGATGCCGTTCTTGGTTTTAACAACAGTTTTTTGTGTGTGTGTGTTTTCGTCTGCAGATCAAGAAGTACTTTGAGCTGGAGCCTCTGGCCCGAGGAAAACGTTGGATCCTGGACGGCAGCACCATCGACAACATGGAGGCAGTGAAGGAGAGCTTCGGTCAGTTCATTAGCCTGCTGGAGGACAAAGACACAGAGCCTGCAAGGATATGATGCTAACACATGTTAGCGCTGAAGAACCACCACATCCTGCTGGTGCCCCCACACACACACACACACACACACACACACACACACACACCAGAAGATAAGAACAATGGCGGCCACTCTTTAAGATGTATTTGTTCTCTCACTGCAAATTGGGAAAAGTCCACCACCACAGACTGGCCGAGGAGAGCCCCCTCCCCTGACACCCAGAACACCCCCTAAACCTTGGAATGGAGATCTTACTTACCAACGTTTGTGCCATTGTGATGCAATTAAAGTCATTTAGGTTTAGTATTTCTCTAGTCCTGATTAAACACTAAAAACACAGATTTGCACTTAGACACACACACACACACACACACGTTCGTGGAGCCAAGATTGTCTAAAGATACGTTTAGCGTCTCCACTAATTACTTAGCAGGATGTTGGATTGAGCACGACTGATGTTGTTTCCTGTCAGAAGTTCTGTTCGGCTGTAAAGTGTGCCTCTTCCTTTGACTCGGCAACAACAAAGGTTGCTGTGTAATCGGAGGTCATAGTCCAAAGCCCTGTGTTATGTACAGCAGTTACCTATCGGTGCGCCCCACCGCCTCTGAATATCTAATCTGAATAGCGTAGTCTTGAGTGTTCCTTAGAAGCCAACGAGCATATTGCTGTGTAGCCTCGTGTGCAGCCAAACACGACGAGAGGAAAAACTCAAGCCGAGCGCAGAGCGGGTTCGTTTGGACGGAGCGGGAACGAGTCTGAAAGTTTTTTTTATAAATGTGCTACTTAGGTTCTATTTTATAGCTTTGTATGTTAACCTTGTAAAAGCAACAGTCGGATTTTGTATGTCTTTCATCTGTGTGTCAAACTTGTGATTTTTTTTTTTTCAAATCAGAAACAAAAAGTGATTGATATGGATGTCGCCACATGTGGAAATGTTAATGAGTTTTGGGTGTTTGTAGTTCTGAGTAAATGTCGGGTCTGTTTTTTGTTTTATTTTAAACATTCGACACAACCACACGACCTCTCAGTCCTGGCTGGTGGCTGCAGCTTCCCATCAGGGTGGAATACAAACTATCAATCAGCCGCAGCAACAGCTGCATCTGACAAGTCGCTGTCCGACAGCCTAATGCTTCCCAACTGCCCGGAGACCCTCCCTGTCTGCTGTTTATCACGGCCCCTCTGGTCCCACTCTGCTTCATATTGCTGCTCAGCGTTTTTGAAATTTTTTTAAAATTTTGTTTTGTTTTTATCTCGGATGTCCTTTCAGCCCCGATGCCCTCACATGGACTCCTGACCTTCAGAATGAGACGTCTCCGTTGTGCCACAGGTGTCCATTTATCCTCCAAAATATGTTATTTTATCAGTATTTTGAGATTTAAACACTTTTTTTGTACCTGATGTGAGAACTGAGTGAATTTGTATGTTTGTTTGTATGAATGCAAAATAAATCTCTCAACCAGGGATGATGCTGGTGTTGGATTTTTATATATCACCTTCTCACAAATGAGTGTTTTAAAGGGGAAGGTATGTATTTTCTAGGTGCATTTAATTCTATACCACAGTCACGTAACTGATAACTTCAATTGTTTTGAAAAAGCTGTATATACATTAAAAATAAAAGACATTACATCAGGGCTATTTAACTGGCGTCTTGGTGGGTGACTTCCATCCGGCCTGCCACTGAGCCCCCACCCAAAACCTGAAAAAAAATTGAAAAAGTTTTTTTCTTTTTAACTTAATTTCATATAAAATACATTTCAAATGTTAAACATTTAGGTTTCAATGCAACACAATTAAAAGTAAAAGATAAAACTTGTTCTGTTGCATGCTGCAGTGTTTCACCCACCATTACTGGGCACACTCCCCCCAGGCCCCGTGGGCTTTGAGTAACCCAGTCCCCCAGAGGGATTTAATTGAATAGCCCTGCTTTACATGATGAGCCATCTAAACGCCTCTGCCTCTTTAAGAACCTCCTACCATTTCTGACACTCCCACTTCAGCACATCTTCACGACCGTGCTTTGGGGGAGGGGTGCTCCGTGGCGCCAGAGCTGAACTGCAGACTGAGCTCCAGGGAGGAGCTTTGGGTAAATGGGCGGTGCTTTGTACCAGCAGGTGTTTAGGCAGCTCCACGTGGCTACAGGWGATTCAAGGATGTGTTCTTCGTGGATCAGCAGAACATTTCTGATCCTGAACGTATTTCCTTCAGTGTCTGATTTGTTCCTTAAGGTGAGCTGTTGAAACCCGAGACGCAGGAAAACACGGATGAACCAGGAGAGTTCAAGCTGAAGTTGGAAGTTGGGGGAAAAAGCGATCAAAGTGGAGCAGCTGAAGAAAGTTTTGAGCGGAGAGTTAACCGAGTGAGACAGGAGTTCCTGATAAATGTGCTCTACTCTGCACCACCTCTGCTCCCCCCCGTCTTTTCCTTCTCCTTTTGCCCTTCTTCCCTCTCTTTCAAATTAACCGTGTGGCTTTAATACAATGTGTGTCATGCAGGTTGCCCCGGCGACTCTTTGATCCTGTTTTCCAGTCTCTGCCTGTGGGGCAGACGTGCCTCTCCTCAGTCTGCTGCACACCGGCTCTGGAAGCTGTTGCAGCCCTGAGACAAACCATGGGCTGCTGCATCGTGCACCCCCCTCCACCCCCCTTTTTTATACTCTCGTCATACTCACTTTCTCTCTATTTTAAGCCCTTTTCCCCCCACTAAAAAAAAAAAAACATTTCACTCCATCTCTGTTCCTCGCTCTGCTTCTTTTTGGGCACACCGTTGGCGTGGGGCATCCAGAGAGCCCGTTTGTCCCATTCCCTTCATTTGCCTGAAACGTGCCGCTTGTCGAGCTGCGTGCAGCCTCTTAACGAAACATTCAAGTCCCAACACGGCCTTTTATTTTTTTTAGGAATTAGGAAATTTAGCAATAATTATTGGCTACCCGGAGGGCAGGGAAGCACTACGAAAAATCCAACTTTTTTTGTTTGTTCCGAAGTCATTCAAGCAGCGAGGAGTGAGTCAGACGCCACACAGAAGCAAACACAGTCGGGATCAAACCCTTCAACCACACAAGCAATTATTTCAGGTGCATTTCTGCAGCTTTCATCACAGTTTATCATTTGTTCTCTGCGGTTTGGAGTTTCTGACATAGAGTCCTTAACTTGCGTCATGATCGGGGGGGTGTTTTGCAGCTTATGTACATTGTGTACAGTGCACAGCCAGCAGTCAACAACATGAAAAAAAAATACTGTAACGTGGATTTACATGGGTTTTTCTTAGTTTTTTTACACTTTAGAGGCTGAATGTTTTATTGCCTGACCTGAAAGACGTGTCTTCCTGTTTGGCAAAATATCTCGTGAAACATTGAAAGTTAACCGGRTTCAAGATGGCCGCCACAGTTTTACAGATAATGAGCAAAAAAGTTAYCAGAAATAAGACCAAGCTTCTCAGAATTATTATTATTATTTAGTTTACATCATCTTTTATCTGCTGTCGGCATCTCTGATGGAAAAGAACAACAAACACACCTGGCAGCTTTTGACTAATTACCAAATACCTGAGAAAAAACTGCGAGGGTTGTGCAAACGTTCAACATGATATTACATAATCCAGGTTGGAATTACAAGTGAATCTTCCTCCATTCAAACTGTTTTTTTTTTATTGTTGAAGTACACAAATCTGAAAAAACAACATTAAAAGTAATTACCAGGATGTTTGGTGTGTTTAGGCCTGTTTTGCATAAGTTCTTCCACAGAACACTGACCCGGCAGCGGGATCGACAGACGAGTTCTGGGAGCTTTGTGAAACGCAAACGTGTGACCCGATGGGGAACCTAGCTTTTCGTTTACAGGCCAAACAAAAGCAGGCATGTTTTCTTAAACCCTCAGTCTTCTCCTGCTCTGTGTGTGTGTGTGTGTGTGTGTGTGTGTGTGTGTGTGTGTGTGTGTGTGTGT